AAAAAAAGTCAAATTTATTTCTTTTGCTATTGATAACTCGTTAGATAGAGTCATGTATCTGCTCTCAAATGCACTATAATTTATTGCTTTTATGATAAGATTTAAGGATATTACAAAGATTTTTGCGAATTCTCATACTGAAGAAAATAATATTTTTTCTAAAAATTTTGATTTTTAAAGTCTTTCAAGTTTTTCTATTGAACTTTCGCAGTAATTGACCTAACAATCATGCATCGCTATCTATGATAAATACAAAACTTGAACATGAATATCACAGAATGAAATAAAACTACTCAACATTGATGCATAATAATCTTAATTTAATTCGTTCTAATCAATGATCTATGACAAATTGTTCGAAGATTCTATTTATATCAGTTATTGAAGGAAAAATGCTTGTATTAGACTTTTGAAACTCATTCTGCGTTTTTTCTCACAATAGTATTTTTTATCTCAATGTTTCTTTGCATCTCAAATTTCACCACCATTATAAATGCTCGAAAGCTGGGCTTAATGTCAAATGAAGACAAAAATCCGCTTCACAACTTAACAGAGCCAGATTTTTATATGGTAATGAAAGAGCCTTTGAGAAATATAAACTAAAAAAAAAAATTAGTAATTCGAGGTTTGTTAAGTTGTAGTATTACATCTTGGCTACATTTTAAAACTCATTGGAACTTTCTAATATTAGACGGACAACTCTATTTGGACCAATCTTCATAAACTCAATGAATCGAGCAAAAATTTTTACTTATGAGTTGCTTAACCCGAGATGCGTATTTCCTTCAAAACTTCATCATGGTTGGATGATCAAGAAAAAATATTTTTCTGAGAGCGCCTCTTAATGTCAAATAGTTCTAAATAACTATCTGAATTGATATTGAATTCATTTAAACTCAAATTGTGTCCAAGAAAGAATATTACATCTTTAATCTTTTATCAATAAGCAATAAAACTATTCATGAATCGAACTTATATATGTAAATATATATGAATCATCGATCATAAAACAATATATTTCTATTCAATTATAACTTGTCAATTAAAGATTCTAAATTTCACACATGATTTCAAATCAAAATAGTACTTTGATCTTGTTCTGATAAGTTAATCTACAAGCAAAAACTCCATTCTTTATCAAATATTTACTTACGGTGAACTCGTAAATGAAACAAAAAAACGATCATCATGAAGTTTTGTCACAGTATCTAAATTAAAAAAAAAATATGTTTTTTTTTTTTTTTTTATAAAATATAAAATCTTTTTTCTTTTGTATTATCAATTTAATCTTACTAATATCATTGAATACAAAAGGTGAATCATTTACACCACTTAAACAAGTTATTCTTGCTTTACGAAATGTTGTCCATGTATTAGCCATAATTGTTGCTGTATCAATATCATTCTTAAAGTAAATTCAAAATTTTATTTTTTAAATTTAATTAAATAATCATTTTACTTTGCATAAACGACCAACACGAGAATAAATTCTTGGAAATATATCACGTTGTTCTTCAGCTTTTTCTCGAAAGAAAAAATATATATTTGAACCAACATCAAATGAAGCAATAAATTCAGGTGCTAAATAACATAATTATAATTCATTTATTTAAATAATAAGAAAAATTTACCGCTCAACCAATCAGTATCATATTGAGGTGTACGTAAAAATTTAATATTTCCATCATCAGATGGTGGTCGATAAATAATTGGTTCAGTTTTCGTATAATCAATAACAGCACCCGTATAAAAGAATCCATAATTTTGTGGATTACCTTCATCTAATTAAAATTAAAAAAAAAAATAAAACAAATTCTTAATAAAAATAAAACAAAAAAATTCATACCTGACCAAAGAGCAGTGTTGTTATGACGAGGATCTCGTGAACAATAACCAAAACCTTCTTTACTACCTTGTTTTTCAGTTAAATCAGGCTTAAAAACAAACGATTTCATAGTCAAAAATAAAATAAGTTATTAAAATTAATTTCTTACATTAAAATAATAAAGTTTTGGTGAAAATGCATTTGTTGAACATACAAATATATCATTGTATTTTGTTTTACGTCGTAATAATACTCGAACATGATTTTCACAATCAAAAGCCTTTGAAAAATTACAAAACAAAAAAATATTAAATATATATATATTTATGGGCAAGATTATTTGTTAGGAAAATGACTTCACAATATTAAAACACATATATGTCAGGATATGAAACTTTCTTAGAACTAATTTGTATATGCTACATGTATATTAATTTACTCTAGATATAGTGATGTTTTTGTCCAAAGAGACAATTTAAAATTCCCAGAAAACAAACATAGGCATATTGTACAGCTTTTCAGAAATGCGCCATTCCTAAGTTGAATAAAACACTGCCTAGATACTCTGAAAAGTTTTTTTTCTGAACATGCTTCGCTTTTTCAAAGAAATCCGATTTACTGTTCAGTAGTGATGTGATGGAATTCGAAGATAAAAGAGGAAAAATATTCGTTTGAACGAATGATATCTTCACATGCACACTCAAACAATAAAAGTTCTTCTTAAAAATCTCTAGAAAACCGATTTCTAAGAGAAAATCATTTTGGACTTCGATCTTACTGAAAATTTCATAATACATGCGGTTTGTATCGTAATGTCTATCCTGAAGTTTTCAAAAATTTTGCTATTAACTGCCAAATTTAAAAGATTCACATCTACTTAATCATTCAACTGCGATTTCCTATTCTCTGTTGACTACCAAACGTTAATTACTTAATAACGATAGATAGAAAATTTTGTGTTCTATGTCGCTTCGACTTTTTGCAACGTTTTCGAGGCTACCGTTTACAAGAAAAATGTTTAAGAACTAACAACTGTAGATATTTTTGAGCTATATAAAGATTAAACTGCATCGTAATAATAATCAGCTTATGTTTAGTTAGAAAATAGCGATAGAATAGATCTAATCAAAAAAGAATCTGTTATTAACTAATTAATAGTTATTTAAACGAGTCAACATTGTTAACAGAACATATTCAGAAAAAATAACTTTTGTAAAGAATCAAAATCAACTGAGAACGATGGGTATGTTTCATTTTTACTTGAAAATGGCTCATATATATGGGACTTATTAAAACATTTACTTGATTTAATGAGTGTGATAAACATTTTTGCACTTCATCTCGTTTTGATGGAAGATCAATTGATTTATAAATCTATTTAACAAAATAAATTTATTTCATTATTCTTAATAAATTTCTTACTGAGCTTGTTCGATCTTCAATATTATCTCGATCTAATCGAACGATTAAATTTCTATTTAAAAAAAAAAATTTTAATTAGTAAAAACATGACACACACACATAAAAACTTACTGTCCACCAACATAAAGACTATCATCATCGAGTAATAAATTCCAATAATAATTTAAACCTGATGAATATTTATGAATAGCTATAGAACAAAAATAAAATAAGATCAAAATTTCATTTCATTCATATCATTTAAAATTATTTACGAGTTGGTACATATTTTGATACAGAAATAGTTGGTATTGAAGAACTACCAACAAATGTAATACCAAATAGAAAAATGATAAAATTAGATATCATATCTAAAAATCAAACAATATTCACAAAAAGAAAATAATAATGAAATAAGTATATCTCTAAAATAAAATCCTGCATTATATAAAATATCTATTGATCTTATTTGATCAAACAAAATAAAACCATAATATTTTTATCGCGTTTTGATTTGGACACTATTCATTGTATATATCTACACTAATCAATAATTGGTAAAAATAAAATTCTCACTTGATTCCTTTCATGAAAATTTATAACAGACAATACATAGTTATAAAAGAATTCATGAATGACTCGATAATGTTACATCACGATCAAGTGCAAAACGATTATCATTTGTTTTAAAAATATTATCTATAAAAGAAAACTATAGACTTAAATGATTGATCTTCTCAATTTACCAATACTATTTTTCTTATCTTAATTCATGTCATTGTTAAACAAAACAAAATCGTTTATAGAAAAATACTTGAAACTATTGATAAACTAAGATAGTAATATTAATGAACATCGAAAAGTATTAAACATATACAATAAAGCCCTATGAGTCAAAAAAATTGAAGTATGACCGAACAACGCAAAAATTTAAATCAATGGTTTTATATTTTGCTTTATGCAAATAGACTATGATAATTATTTTAAAACTAAAATTTATTTTGCATCATTAGATTTTTATACATGATTGCGGTTTTATTCTAGAATGATTTTAAACGATTTTAAGATCGAGTAGGAAATGAAGACAGAAAAAAAGTAGGCTACACAATGATAAGAAGTTAATCTGTGTGTCTTATCAAAAAAAAACTTCGATATTTGGAAAAAACCAATCGTTCGATTAGAAAAAAAAAACAACAGATTTACTATGACAATGAACAGTATAGATAAATTAAACGTTTTATTTTTAGTCGTATGGCGATGACCTGCTTCATCTCTATGTTTACCGATGCCATGTTCGAATGACAAATAGTAATATATATGATTATTCACATGACTATTGGCGACATCAGGTCAATTAATATTTATAAAAAAAATACCTATGATTGAAATATTTTTTCAAAGAATTCAATAAAATAATGCTTGAGGATTGTTTAGATGATGATTTTAAAAGACTCGACTTCAACCAAAAACTAGTGACCTCTGTCAAAGATCCTTGACATTCGGATTGCGCATATGACCAACACCGAAAGGAATGAAGTTCGATAAATAGACTTATTTGTTTTTTTTTTTGTTCTTTAAATAGTAAGGAGAAATGATCATAGTTTATCTCCTATGCGTCATCAGTCTATAGGTTTTTTTTTTTGAAGCAGTTCTCATAAATTTGCTAACTCACTCATTAAATGTTCGTGCATGATATATTTTAGAAATCTTGCAAACAATTTTTATTTCTTACTAATTTTAATTAACTTTCATTTTGGACGGATCATCAATAAAGATGATCCGTATCTTATTAATTCTTTCATACTTTCTCTCATCAATTATTCAAGTGGCTTTCACCGATGTCTATGTGGTATGATGATGAAAAAAAAAAAAAGAATTTTCGTGTTTTAACAATAGCATTTTTCTTTATTAGTATAATGATGCAAATAAAGTTATTGATGATTATGATGATCAATCAGCGAATTTTGGACCATCCGTTCCATCCAACGGATTAACAGTAATGGACTGTGTTTTTTTTTAAATTTATTTTTAAATTGTTTTTTTTTTATTTTCAAAGGGATATGTGACATTAACAAATCCAAGAAATGCATGTTCTAAAGTAGCACCACCACCTAATGTCCCAACACCTAAATATCGTTGGATTGCACTTATTCCTCGTACAAAATCAGAGGATATGTGTGATTTTGATCTTAAGGTTAATTTTTTTTTGTTTTTATTATTTTCTAATATTTGTTTTGTTTTTAGGTACTAAATGCGCAAAATGCAAATTTTAGTGCAGTTATTATTTATAATTATGAAGATGCACTTATCACAATGGGTCCACATGGGAGAGGTAAAGAAAAAATAATATAGTTCGTATTTAATAATCTCTTTCTTTTTTTTTTTAAATGTTAGATATACAGATACCGTCAACATTAATAATGCACTCTGATGGTTTATCAATTATCTCAAATTATTTATATAATGAAACAATATCTAATTCAACTTTGCAGTAAATATTTAATTCACATGATAGATTATAAATAGTATCATGATAAAGAATTGAAATATCTCAACATTAGTTTAGTACAATGAGAATATTTTTTTTTTCTATGAAAACAAATTTTACTTGTCATCAAGTAAGAATAATACATGTGAAGCATCGTTATATATAGTTCTCAATTGTTATCTAAAAGAATAATAATAAGAAATTAAAGCGAACTATATTGATGCATATTGAGCAAATTTTCAAACTTAACGTTAATGGTTATAAAATTTTGAATTTTCAAATATGAAAAAATTTTTAAACTAGATTTGAAAACATGTTCTGCGTGCCTCAATATGGTTTATTTTTAATTTCTTATTATTGTCTTCGATGACAACTAAAGATTTTCTATGAAACATATCATATGTATTGTCCTTACTTAGTAATAGATGAAATTTTTTTTTTTTGGCTAGACCAAAAGTATACCTTGACAGTAGTATTTATATACGTTATTTGCATAAAACAAAAACTTTAAATAACCTTCTAACACTAACGGAAGTAAAGATATTTCAATGTTTTATCGTAGTACTATGTATGATTCATCTTGTATATTTATTGTTATCGATCGTATTGTTTCCTTTTGTTTATTTTCTAATAATAGGTTTCATATAAAAATTAATACTGAACAGATATATAAATTTGGTGCTTATTTAATACCATTTATTTGTATTGTTAGTGTATCCTTTTTTGGTCTTATGGGTTTTATGGTAAGAAAATGTTTCGAATAGAAAATATTTTCATTATATTTTGTTTAGTTAGTGAAATGTTATTTACAACGACGTCGTTCACGTCGTCATCGTTTACCACGTTCAGCACTTAAACAATTAAAAATTAAAAAATTTGCTAAAGGTGATCGTTGGGAAGTTTGTGCTATTTGTTTAGATGATTTTGAAGAGGGTGCAAAAATACGTATATTACCATGTGATCATGGTTTGTTTTTTTAATAGTAATGTTGCTTTTTTCTATTTTCTTATTATTCAATTATTTTTCAGCTTATCATATGAAATGTATTGATCCATGGTTATTAAATAATCGACGTCAATGTCCAATATGTAAACGTTATGTATTTCCTAATCATGATAATTCAGATGAAGAAGAAAACAATGGTCAAACACCAACAGAACAAACACCATTGATACAACCATCTAATGATAATACAACTCCAGTTCTTCCAAGAACTCGTCTTATAGGTTAATATCTAGTGTGTTACTAAAAATCAGTCTCCTCAATTGAAATCAATAATTTATTCAGAGATAGCAGTTTAACAACTATTTCATGTTTCGAGTATTGTCAAGATTGTTTAAACTTTGAGTAACATTTATTTTTTGATATGAAACTACCTGTATTTTATTCAATTTTCTCTTCTGAAAGGACAAACACCTACTTGAGAGACCCAGACTGATGTTCGGAGAGACGTCATCTTCTGAACTCCGACGGTGGATAAGAGACTGAATATTTCAAAAAAAGCAAATCAATATTACTAAGTCTATATCATCAATATGAAATAAACTAAAGTCTTATATTTCTGTCGAAGATCATAACTTTAAAGAATAGAGTTCTCCTTATTTAATAAATTTTTCAATTTTAGAACGTCGATTCATTAATTTATCAAGTGCCGGTGCTCCAAATTCTACAACTACTATTAACGAATCATCAGATAGTGACGATGATAATAATGATGATGATACATCGTCACTGTTAAGACAAATAACAAACACTAATCATATTACTACTAATGATCTTGTATTCAATCGACCATTATCGAGTTCTCCAAGTTATTCAGATTCAAAATTACCACGTGTTGTTTTACGTGAATCAAGTTCGGAAGATATTGACAATAATGCAACAAGAACTACAACATATGAAAGTTTGCATGATTCTCTATCAACGTCATTTACAACACCACGTGCTGCGAATTTTTTTGTTGGTTCACCTGGTGGTACAACTGATAATACAAATATATCAGCACATTCAGCTATTGAAAATGTTAGTGACATTGAAACTGATGATAATGATGAACGAATGCATTCAGTATTAACTGATGTTGAAATAAATCCTGCATATGTGCCTGATGATGAAATAACAAATGTACCTCAAACGAACTTGTAAATTTTTTGTTTTCTGTGCATTTTTTCGGCTTGTCTTTCCAGGTGTTGAAACAGTGTATTGGTTTTTCTCTTATCTAAATAATCGAGTCAATGTATGTCATTAATTTTGTTCATACAACAAATCGATATATGCATTAATGTAAACAATCTATCGATAGTTCATTGTTATCAACATTTCTTTTTTCTGATTTTCTTTGTGTGTATGCTTTTTTTTTGAAAATACGACATCATCTATGAAAACAAAAAATTGCTAATGAAATTTTTTATAGTGAATCTCTTTGCTATTCTTAATAATACGTATGGAAATGTAGTGCAAATATTGCATATTGTGTAAAACAAAGGTATGAACTACAAGTAATGTACAACACATTCAAGAAAATTCGATTTAAAATGAAGCTTCTTTTCTTCATCGATAGCTTCAGTCTGTCTCTATAGACAAAAATTTAAATGGAAAAGAGAGAGAAACAACCATCACATTTGTTTTTCTCTCGTCATACTGGTGGTCGTCGATATAGACCCATGTATACGTATTAAAGGGCAACACATATCATCGAGGCACATATATGTATATCCTTTGTTTTCATCGTCGACGCATCACTTTCTTGCTCCCGATTATATCATTTCTTTTTTTTTTCTCTCTCTTGTCTGTGGCTGTTTCGTCCGTCCGTCTGTCACGATCTATAAAAAGCGAAGGTCATACATGTATGATTCCATTTATTTCTTAACGTCGATTTGGTAAGAAAAAAGGTGAGACACAAAGTAGCACAAAACTTTTTCGGACGCAATCACCGGTTATCAGGAACGCTTTGATACATGACTCGGCGTGTCTGTTGACCGGTGAAAACTGTTTGAAAATCGTTTGCCATAATTTCTTTTCTTCTTCGTACATTTTCACTGTTCGATGTGCCTCCCTTGAGTAAACGACAAGACTAGGGAGATACAGGGACGGTGCCAATGTGCGTAAGATTTTATTTATTCTTTTTATTTCAATATATTGAACTTTTCTGATGTTTGTTAATTACTGTTCTGCTTGTGCCACGCTACGCGAATCGAATGTGAGCGAAGTACAGCAGCCAGTAAATAACGCCATCAATATTCTATATGTTTTCAAAATAAGAAAAATTTCTTCTTTTGTTAAGTAGACAACTGTTCAGTTATACCTCGCTTGGACAAACGTAGGAGCGAAGCATTGCTGGACAGTAGTCGAATTAACAGATAATCGTCCATAATAATACAACTAATTAAAAACTCGGATCTTCATCTCACTGTATTTCCTACCTCGCTATTGTTATGAAACAGCGAGCGTAGGTAATGGCAGTGGCCTGAAGTTTGTCTGAGAGTACGGATAAATATTATATTTGTTGTTATTCTATTGTTAAAGCCTGAATCATTACTTTTATTGAAACTTGAAAAGTGATTTTATTAAGTACTGATACTATCAATGATAAAATTACAATAGAAAAGTGATTAGAAAATTTAAAATATATTTTATTATTTAACTTGTGTCACAATTAATATAACATGTTATTCACATTAAATTGTAGATCACAAACTTTTGAATATTGATGCCAGAAAATCTTTTCACTCTTCATAATTCGATATTTTACAGTAAATATAACTGAAACTGATAGAAAAATAGATATACTTAGTTATAATTTTGATGATTGAAATACAAAATCAATAATAAAATCAATCCATAGGCGAATTTAAAGATGTCGACAAAAATTGATTTTTTTTTACTTACATAAATATTACAAAGAAAAGAAAAGTTCTGATAGTGCTTCTAATAATTATTGACGAAATGTTTTTCAAAAATCAATAGAAGACATAATCGTACTATTCAAAAATGGTGCACACAGTTGAAAATATTTACTTAGTTGAGAATATTCACAAATAATCTATGAAAAATGAAGTAAAAAGTAGAAATTATCTCATCAACTATGGAAGATACTACGTACTTACGTAGATGAACAACTGTGTCACTGCTCTTTCGAGAACAAACACAAAAAGAATATAAATTTATAAAAAAAAAAAAAAAAAAACAAAAAACAAACAAGAATGAAAGAAAAAAACAAAAATTAATAGTATACATCGAACATAGTGCTACCGTGGCCATTTACATTGATCGAAGGAGGTCTATAATCTCGTGATATACCTCCTACAGGTCGATTAGAATAGTTAGAACTATTTAACATTTGTCCATCAGATGCACGTAAAATAAATTCATTTGTATCGAGATATTGCAGTTGTGTTGATTGTTTTTTGTTTGAGTTCGATGGTGGTGGTGGTGGAGGTACGGGTCGTTTTTGTTGATATTGTTGTAGTTGTGTCACTACTGACGGTTTATTATTATTTGGATAACTTGCATAAAGAGGATGTCTTAAAGGTGCTGAAGGAATTCGTCTTTCAATTGGTGGACTTAATTGATGATTATGATTATGATGTGGTTGAATGATTGAACTTTCGTGTGACAATAAGTTCGGTTGTGAACCAATCATTACAGGTGATGTAGCTGTCCAAAGTGGATTTGTTGAAAGAGGTGCACCACTTCCATTGGCAAGACGACTTTCGTAACGAGGACTAAGATGCATTCTTGGCTGTGGATCATATAATAAACTTGTTTCAGAACGAGTCCGATGTTCCTGTGGTATTTGTTGATGTTGATAATGAGTATTATGATAATAAGCATCTAATTCATTATTCAATAATGAGTTTGGTTGTGGTAAACTATTTGGTAACTCGTAATTATTATTACGAGTAAATAGTTTTCTATATAAACAATATAAGATATTGAATAATAAGAAAATAATGAATATAAATATATACTTAGTAAGAGAAGTAATTTGTGGTGGTCGAAAACGAAAAACTGGTTGTTTATCTTGTTGTTCACTTTCTATATGTTCAATATTACCATCATTATCAGTGAATATTGAACCTGTTTCATCTTTAAGAAATTCAAATGCTAAACTCACAGTTTCTACCTGAATGAAAATAAGCAAAAAAAAAAAAGAGAAATAGTAATTATTTTTTGAAAGATTTTTTTAAAAATTTTATACCGGATCAATAGTTGTATCACTTCTTTGAGTTGAAAAACGTGGTCTTCCATTTTTTTCAATGATACCATTATTTAATTCTGATTTTTGCAATTCATCTTTAGTAGAGTTATTACTCGATGAATGATAGTTTGAAAATATTTGTCGTCGTTTTTGACTATGATCTGGATCGATTGGTGTATAACCAACAATTGTCGGCTAGAACAAAGTAAACGAAATCAATATCGTATTTTTTTTTGTTTTATTAGATTTATATGAAATTTTTCAAATAATAATTTCGATCACCTTTGATCTAAAACATAAGCCATAAGTAGAACGTAATTTAGCAGTTAAAATAGTAGTAAAATTTGTTGGTAGTAAACTATCATGTTTGAAACGAACCATTATGTCATTTGACTCGAACAGCACGTATAAACAGTGTTCATTGACTAGTCTTTTTCACTCAGACAGAATAAAGAACAAAAAAAAAGAAATGTAAATCTCTTTATCAATGAATGATGCGATTAAAATGTTGTCGTTGATTGTGAAGCAAGAGACGTCGTCAGTAGTGAGAGTGTATGTATTTGCCCAAGAGAAGATGATGACGAAGAAACGATGGCGGTAGCTACCTCAGATCAAAAACGAGAGAGAGTGAGAAGGCGATCTCTCACTAAATTGACATCTTTTCGTTATATATATATATATATGTATATGCTGACGCCAACAAGACTTCTTTTCTTTAAGTAGAACTCTCTGTTCAATACATATAATGAGTTATTGATTGATCAAAAAAAAAAGTAAGACAACCTTTAATGTGAAATACGAGTGAGTTTGTGGAATGTAACAAGAGAAGGTGTATGTACTAAATTTTCATTCAATCAAAATGTTTTTCTTTTTACCTCTGTACTTTTCCATGCTTGTGCTCGTTGAATATTACCACGTACAGCATGTACTGTATCGTAATCTTTTGGTGGAAATAGAAGAGGTTCTTGTGAATCAAGTTTTTTTTGAAATTCTTCTGTAATTGATTTAACTGGATCGATTTTATCTTGTCGACTACTAGTACTTGTTGATGAAGATGATATATTTGTATTTGTTTTATTAGAATTTAAAGTTGTTGTATTTGATGATTTTGATTTTGAACTTTCATAAGGATTTACATTAAGTAAATTATGTTGAAGAAAATGTTGTTCAAGTTGTACAATTCTTGAACGATGATTTTCATTAAGCGTATATGCACGAAAACGAATTAGTAATTTTTGAGCAGTACGTGCTGAGTCACACCGGTATACATGAACAAATGCTGGATAATGATGACCCGTAAGTGGTGATATATAAACAACACCTATTTATTGAAAAAGAAAATTTTTTTTTTTTTTTTTTTTTTTAATTAATTTTTTAATTAAATTACATACCAATAGTATCATGTAAAGAAGATTTTCCAATAGATGAACCAGCAATCATGGTTGATGGTACATTTGTAGAATATTTATGCTCATTATCATAGGTAATTTTAACACCATCTCTACTTACTGATATTGTTGTTTTAACAAATTCACGTTTTGATTTAACTTGTCGAATGAAATTAATTGCATCTCGTATTGATGATTCATTTAAAAGTAATGTTGCTGCTGTACAACCACAGTAATCGACATGAAAAAATTTTGGTCTGGAAAATTTATGCAAAGCCATTGGACAAATCTATGTATACGAATTATAAATTGATAGAGAAATAAATGAATACGCGACTACTCATGTACGATCGAAGTTTGTCAATAAAACGAAGAAAAAACACAATGAAAGAGGAGACTAATGAACAGCTTCTACTAGAATAGATGAGACCTTGAGACAATAGCTCTATCGACAATTTTTTGTTGATATTAGAGAACGTGACTTTCATTTTGTTTACGACAACGACAAAGAGAAAGACAAATCTGACCTATTAATTGAGAGAAATCGATGCGTCTTT